CTGTTGTCCCTGTGTGCTGTGCGGGTGACCCTGCTGTTGTCCCTGTGCACCCTCTCTCTCTTGCTCTGTTGACATTCCTCACTAGCCCCTGAAAAGGCTCTGACTAAAGACAGCCACGGTGAGATGGAGAGCAAGAGCAAAATGAGAGCCCTAAATTACTGACTGTGCCCGCACCGAGCCTGCCACGGTCATTTCTGCTTCTCAGAGCCACCAGAGCTCTCGGGGGCCTCTGTGCTTGGGGTGTAGCTAGCATGTGCTTGGCGTGTAGCTAGCGTGTGCTGCGCTCCGGGTGGGTGATAGCATAGAAGGGAAGCCTGTGGCATTAGCACCTACACCAGTGGTCACTTGCTGGCCTCCTGCCCTTTCTCTGAGGTGCGGACTCTGTCTGAGTGGAAGTCTGGGACAGGGTCCTGGAGAATTCAGGGCCGCCCTGGCCAGAGTGTCCCTACATGTGAAGGAAAAACATGTTAGCTAGCAAACGAAAGGACAAGACAGACGAGAGGAATGCTATTGGGGGCTTCTCCTGCCTCTGGGAAAGAGGACTCTACATCGTCACTGGCACCTTACCCCACTAGAGCTGACCCAGATGTGACAGTTGTTTTCATGATGTCCCTTCTTGCAGAAAGTATCCAGGTGTGTTGAGTGCTTCAAATAACACTTTCAAAAGTAGAAACATTGTTAAAATTTAGATCTGTTTTTGCCTTTTTACTTACTGAGGAAACTAGGGAGCCACACCCACAATGGTTTCTTACACAGAGCAGCTTGTAAATAGAACCCCAAATGTTTTCTCCTTCTTCTGCAAAACTAACCTGAAAATTTCAAAAGAATAAGTCCACTGACACTTTTACAGATGTCTGAACTTTCCGTCCTAAGCAGGTATGGTGGCCAACTGGAAAACATCTTAAATCATAGAATACATGACGAACAGGTCTTCAAGGTAGAATCTTTAAACTGTCATCCTGAGAGCGTACTGAAGGCACAAAAAGCCTACATCTCCCTGTAGACGTGAAGATGTAGCCCACGCCCAGACAGAACGTTTCTTGCTGCTCCACTGTGTTTGGGGATACCCTCTGGGAAAAGCAGTGTCCCTTGTCAGGGCAGAGTGAAGAGAGGAGGGAGGAGGATGACTCAGAGCTGGAGAGCAGAACTCCTGGGGACAGTGCTGAGGGACAGCTGATGTGGCCCAGGCAGTTAGCTGATGTGGGGGACAGCCAGAGAAAGGAAGCTAGGGATGACTGACTGGGAAGGCGCTGTTCTGTCAGCCTAGGGGAGCCTGTAGCATGCTGTCAGAACAGATATCTATGTCTCTTACACCTCAGAGGCCAGCCTTCCAGGGCCAGGGTGCATGCAGTCTGCCTGGCAGAGAAGATGGCTCTACCCTTGCATGGCCTTTCTTGGGACATATACCTAGAAGTGGAGTTAACGTGAGCTCTGGTTCCCTCTCCCTTCCTGTGAGGACACTAATTACAGGGCTCTAGCCCCATGATCCCTAGTGGCCTCAAAGGCCCAGTCTTCTAGTGCTGTTCCTAGGGCAGGGGTGGGGCCAGTCATACCATATAAATCTGGGGGAATGCAGACATGGAGTTCTTACAGTGGCCTCTGTTTAGTCCAGAACTTGTTTCCCCTCAGCTGAGTTCTTATGCCCCAGGCTTGTACTGATGTTGCTGTTGTCAGGTGCACAGGAGGACCTGGGTCTTGTTTTTTTCAGCCATAAAATATACACTGTGTTCATAAAAGAAAGGAGCCCATGAGCACCCTGCTGCTTTGCCAGGGAAGTCTTGAGAGAAGGCAGGCAGAGAGGGGGTGTGAGAAGCCCCCATGGGGACAAGCTGTCCTAGTCAGTGTGCGTGTGGCTGAGATGCTTCTTGTAGGGACTCCAGTAGCCCTACAGCCTGGAGCCCGTGAGTTAACAAGTTCTCACCCTCCGTGGTAGAGTCTACCTTAACCTCCAAACATCCAGCTGGCTTAGAGTAACAGAGGGTAGATACAGAGGAGGACTCTGTCATGGACCGTGTCTAGCCCAGCCTTCTTGAATCCAGAGACTCAGCATCTGTCTGCTGTGGTAATTTCCCCTCTACTTTAAATCTAGGCAGCTCTAGGCCATGGCAGCTGCTCGGTCTGTTGAGGTTCCGGTCTCTCAGTCACCAGTTGAGCATGCTCCCCCCAGCCTTCTCTCCTCTGAGAAGCTCTGCTTCTCCTCCCTGCTGGCCCAGTTCCCACCTCGCCACAGAAGATGGCAGACAGCGTGGTGGGTCCATCCATGTTGGATGTGCATAACCGTGTGCTGAAGGACACCAAGAGTCCCCGTACATATGCCACAGACCAGGAGAGATATCACATGATAAAACTGCTAAGGCAGAGGTAAGGGACAGCCGCTGAATCAGGCAGGAGGAGAGCCCTACTCTCAACTTGGTTGTGGCCAAGTGTGTTGAGTTCTCATTAACCGTGTGTATATATCTAAGGGACTCTGGACCAGGATACATTTTTCCCTATCTCAGCTCTCGAAGCTTCTGTACCATGGTCTCTTGATGGTGAAGTCACTTTCCTAAGAGCTGGGCCAGGGCCAGGGCCAGTGTTACATCTAGTCAGGGTGGTCTCCAACATCTGTCTGCTGTGTCTCCCCAAAAAATCATGATAGTGAGGTGCCAAAGTGGGCGCCGCTCCTGCCTGTCCCGTACCTCAGGTAACTGCATCGCAGGCTCCTGGGCTTGCTTTGTACAAGAAACATGCTAGGTCTGTGGGGAAACTGAGGTCGAGCCTGTCTAGGAACTGTAGCCTCTGTGCCCGGCAGAGTGTCCCTCTTCAAGAGCCCTGTACTCAAGTAACATATATTTCTAAGTCATGTTTCAAGTAGTGGACAGGGGTACGGGGTATCTGCGGTGGGCCTTGGTGCAGGCGTCCGCACAGATGGCTGAAGGGCGGGGTTTCCTCTGAGCATCCTGAGAGCATCTAGAGAGGGCTAGCGGGTCGTCCTACTCTAGATGCCCCATGTCAGGAATGGTAAGCAGCTGTGGTCGCTGCAGGAGGGTCTCACTGCAGCAGCAGGGCAGGGTCTACCTTTGGCTTCTTGAGCTGCCTTCCAGGATGAGGGGGCCTGTAAGTGGTTCTGGGATCCTAGTCCACCTTGTTCCCATAGCAACATGTGGGTTTAGTGGGAAAATAAAGCCAGGGAAACAGACTCTGGAAAAACTAAATAAATGTTCATTGCTGGCCAGGATGATTATTTTCCAGACTTCCTCTGGCGTATGCCCTGACCCCTGAAGGACTGTCTCTCAGTGTTCTCCCCAGAGACATCTAGGCCCAGAAGGCCTCTCAGTGCAGCGGCAGGCATGCAACAAACAGCAAGTGGCTACAGGCTCAGAGCAAACAGCCCCAGCCTGCACAAGATAGCCCCAGCCTGCAGCCCCGCTGTTCCTGCAGGGAGACTGGCACCCCTGGAGTGTGCAGCATGCACTGACCTGGAACACACAGGCTCAGGGGACTCCATGGACAAGGTGCTGAGTGCTAGGACAAGGTGCTAAGTTCTGGGACAAGATGCTGAGTGCTGGGACAAGATGCTTAGTGCTGGGACAAGGTACTGAGTGCTAGGACAAGGTGCTGAGTGCTAGGACAAGGTACTGAGTGCTAGAACAAGGTGCTGAGTGCTAGGACAAGGTGCTGAGTGCTAGAACAAGGTACTGAGTGCTGGGGCAAGGTGCTGAGTGCTGGAACAAGGTGTTGAGTGCTGGGACAAGGTGCTGAGGCAGAGGGACTGTGTTATAAGACCAGCAGCGGCCTGGGTACCAGCCAGTTGGACTTGGAGAACAGTCCCAGAGTAGGCCCAGTGCCTGCACTGCAGCTCTTGAGAGCAGAGATCATGGCATGGCACACGGTGGTCCTCGGTCCTCTGCAGGGTGGGTGGGGTCAGAGTGTCGAGTAGGAGTCAAGGGTCACTAGTGAGAAGAGTAGGAACCAGGAGGAGGGAGAGCTGGAGTCTTGCCCAAGGTTGTGTCCCCTTGTCCTGGGAGGAGCGGGTGCCACGGCGCTTGTGAGAAGCCGGAGGGGGGGAGCAGTGCAGGGAGGGCCGCAGACTTGAGCAGCACAGGGCTCTGAATGGAGGTTAGGTGCCTGTGGAAAGGCCAGAGGGGCCACCAGCTAGCATGTGGCAGGGAGGTGGGAAAAGACAGGCCACAGTGTGCCACGGTGTGCCACCTTCCCCCACCACTCTGTGACCCAAGTCACTTCACCGTTGTCCTTTGTAGGAGTAAGCCCTGGCCAGGTCACATCTGCCAGGGCTGGGAACTCAGGCATCCTGGAAGCCCAGGGTTTGGTTTGCTTTTAAACGACTTGCAAGATTCCTCACACACTAACAAGAGGCCGTTTAACCATTCACCTTGGTTAGGCTCTGTGTCCTCTCACCAGACGTCTAAGAAGAACAGCTCCCAGAAGGAACAGGTCTGCAGTGGTCACAGGCCACGTGCACTCATGCATGGTGGTAGGGTGGTGCTCACAGTCAGGGTGCATCATCCCTCAGTTAGGCCCTTCTGGAAATGGCTTCACAAGACACCAGAGTTGTCTGTGCCTCACCCGTCTCCTAGGAGACTCTAAATCTAGTCAAAAGGCCAACTCAGAAACGACACCCTCACATTAAACAGAAGAAGAAGAGGAAAAAGATCGTAGCTCTACCTAGGGAAAGGTTATTTTTTTCCAGAACTTTCCAAACAGTAGGGTTGTAGTTCTCTGTAGGAAGAAGTAGTGCTAGGCCTAAGCATTTTCACCAAAATCTTAATTCTACACCTAGGGATAAATACTTATAGAAAATAATAGCGTACGCCTTTAATCCTAGCACTTGGGAGGTGGAGGCCACCCCCAGCTATGTAATGAATGTCAGGCCATTCTGGCTTTCATGAAACCCTATCCCAGCCCTCCTTTCCCAGATGTCTCCTGTTAAGTGGTCCCTTGTTTGAACATAGCACTGTGGTGGTGTGAAGAAGAACGGCCTCTGTTGGCTGACATATTTGAATGCTCAGTCACTGGAAAGCTATACTATTTAAAAAGATTGGAAAGATTAGGAGGTGTGGCCTTGTTGGAGGAAGTATGTCACTGAAGGGAGGCTTTTGGGTCTCCAAGGTGAGCAGGAGAGAGGTCACTGGCTGCCATTCAGGGCACAGCTGACGTGGTGGTGGGTGGTGGATGGAGGGACGGTCCTCAAGCCTTCATCTACCTTGAGGGCAGCCAGCGAGAGGAAGGCTCTGTTTTATACAGACATGGCACCTTGGACATGCAAGTCAGAAGTGTGGATCAGAAATGCTGTTTGCACTGATCGGCAGGAATGTGCTCTGTGCAGATCACTGAGCTGAGAAACAAGTCATTGATCAGTGTTTAGTCCCTTTTCTCAATTTCTGCTGCAGTTCACAGTTCACAGTGGGCTTTGGGCTAATCGGTTCTCCCTCACTACCCCTGCCCTCCCCTCTTTGTCCCCTCCCTCCCCCCATGCTCTCCTCCCTCCGCCTTCTGAAAAACATTGAAAAAGTAAGCGTGTGGTTTAACTGAAAGGCCAGGCCAGCACACGTATGCCACACAGGCTCCCAGGAGGGCCAGGCCAGGCCAGACCATTTCAGACATGCCAGGATTCCAGTTCCCAGAGAGGCCTGGCACTGTGACAATAAACAGCGACCACAAGAAGGGACACGGGTGTAAGAAAGGCTGAGTCCGATCCATATACATGACGACACTGCACATTGGCCGGTCCTCTCAGAGGAGAGATCTGGGCCACTGAAGATGGTTCGGCGAAGGTGCCCCTTCACAAGCGGAGCAATCAGACAGGCTGATGGGACACACGATTGCCGAAAAGTTGAAGGGAAAATGACGCGGAGACCATGGTAATGGCTTTGCATAAATCCCAAGTGTGGCTCTGCCAGGTATGCCTCATTCACTTCTGGTCACACCGTTCCCAAGGAGTATTGCAGTCTGGGGAAGCTTCTGAGGAAAGCGATTGAATCACACTATCTCCTGAGCAAAGGGAAGGCCAGGATTAGCCATTTCACCTTGTGCAAGGCCCACACGGGCCTGGTGGCAAGAGGGGAGGGGGAGTTGTGGGGGAGGGGAAGAAGTGAGTCAGGAACATTCCCAAGGGGCTGCCCTCAAGTGTAAGGGGCTACACCTCCATTTGGAGACCAGAGGCCCAACTGCAGGCCCTTTTAGAGGTCCATGTATGACGTGGACGGTGTTTGGGGGTCAAAGGGAAGGTGCCTGGCCTGTGTGTTGTGGTTCTGGCGAGCTGCACGCACGGGGCATTTCCGGGCATCTCTGATAGCACAGGGATGGCTGTGTACGCCGTGCCCTGAGCTGGGATGATTGAGCCAGGCACAGTGTTCACAGGTGACCAGAGCAGGTGGAAGGCGGGTGCCAGAGAGAGGTCCTAGGGCCAGACCTGGCCTAGATGTCCTCCCACTCATCCTGTCTGTCCCATAGCTCTGTAGGGCCTGGTACAGGCAGCCTTCCCTGTAGTATAAGGACCAGTTCTCCGGAGTGTCCCCTAAGGCTCACTCCAGGCACCTGCGCTCCTGACACAGGGATGGTTACACTGCTCCCCTGTCAGAACCCTGTACATGGCAGGCATTCCAGTAAGCCAGACAGCTTCCCCTTGCTGTGCTGAGTAAGCTCTCCCCAGCCCTAGACGACCCTACCCTAGGACCAAACTGGTCGGAACTGGTGCTCAGCAGTTGTTGTACATTGAAAAGAACATCAGCCCGAGAGGACCCATGAGCCTCTGCGGGCATCCATGTGTGGGAGGGGCAGTGAGGGCTGCGTGGAGCCCACGGCCTGCCAGACCGAGGGCCACTGCAGGACTGTTGATCCTGCAGCTCCTGTCACTGCGTCTGTCACTGCATCTGTCCCTGTCTCTGCGTCTGTCCCTGTCTCTGCGTCTGTCCCTGT